TCCCTGTTATTCCCCATTTTTCCCTGTAATTCCCTGGTTTTCCCTGTTAGCTATTCCCTGTAATTCCCTGGTTTTCCCTGTTAGTTATTCCCTGTTATTCCCCATTTTTCCCTGTAATTCCCTGGTTTTCCCTGTTAGTTATTCCCTGTAATTCCCTGGTTTTCCGTGTAAATTTTTCCCTGTAATTCCCTGGTTTTCCCTGTTAGTTATTCTCTGTAATTCCCTGGTTTTCCCTGCTGTCCCCTGTCCCCTTCTGCTGCCTCCTGGCCCAGCGTGGCACCTCTCCCCTCCAGCAGGAGCTCACCTTCGCCACCCCGGAGCTGTCCCCTGCCCTGGGCAGGGCACCGAGGGCCACTGTCCCCTCCCAGCGCCGCGGGGACACCCAAAGGTGCGGGGACACCCAAAGGTGCGGGCTCGGGGTGTCCCAACGCCGTCCCCGAGCCGTCCCCGGCGCTGCCACCGCTCCCTGGGGACACACACGGACCGGGAGGGGACACTTCTGTTCGGCCCCTCACCGGAGCCCAGGGCTGGGCTCGCCTTCCCCTCTTCCCCTCAGTGGCACTGAAGCTCCTGGCAGGGAAAATTCCTCATTTTCTGGAATTCCTCCTTTTGCTGAGCGGCTCTCGCAGCGCAGACACGTGAGAGCAGCACAGCGCACACAGAGTCCCCCACAGCAGCCCCCAAATCCCTGCACGGACCCACCGGGGCTGCCCAAACCCCCCTGGGGAGCCTTGTGCGCTACCACAACACACCTCAATTAACAGCGGCAAGCGGGTGACGCCAAAATCGCGGCAGTTCCCCTCTCCGAGCCCTTAATCTGCTTTTTCCTGGCTGACATCACCGCTCAGGTTGATACACGCAGCGCTTCCCTTATCTTTCTTCGGGATTACCTCATCGGAGAGGACTCGGGGAGCCTTCCTCTCCCCCTCTTCCTCCTCTCCCAGCTTGGAGCTGCAAGTTTTGCAGGGAGGAAGGGCTGGATGCGGCTCCAGCCCTGCCGCTTCCTCCTCCCGCATCCTTCCCGCACCCAGGGAGATCCAGGCGGGCAGCAGCAGCTGCCCTGTGCCCTCCAAATCAAAAACCGAACACCAAAACGCACCTCCCGCGGGGTTTATTCCCTACAAACAATGCCCGAGTGCTCGCACACGCACAGAGCCCGCTCCCGCTTGCCTGGGGTAAAAAAAACAAAACAAAACAAAAAACTTAAATTCTTGTACAGGAACACCCATTGCAGCCCTGCAAGGCAAGAGTTAACGAGCTCACGTGTAATTAACCGATAGCTACGTTAACATGTGTTGCATGTAATTCTCTGTCAGCATAAATAAAGGGAATACAGCATGAATATATACCCCCACACCTCACAAATATCCACACGGAGATGAATTTTGGCCAGTTCAGGGTTATTTTCACCCAAAAACAAAGCCACTTTCATTTTTTTTTTTCCCCCAAGCTCACCAGCCACCTCCACAAGAACAGAGCCACAGCAAGCCACAGCCACAACACCGCCGAGAGAATTAAATCAATATATTCCCACATTTTCGGCTCGGGATGCTCCGGGCTGGCATCCCCGGGGGTGCTGCCCAGGTGAGGCAGGGGGGGATGCGGGTGCCCAGCGCGGATCCCAGCGCGGGCTGAGCCTTCCTCCCGTGCCCCGCTCGCCCTCACGCACGCAACTCCTGCAGGCACCGCTCCAGACAAAGAAAGCGAGAGAAAAAAAAACGGAAAAACGCGTCTTACTTTTTTTTTTTTCCTCCTCCTCCTTTTTTTTTTTTTTTTTTTTTCCTTGCTTTTCGTTCCCCCTCCTCTCTCGTCTCGTCCCGCAGCTTCACCCGCGGGACTCCAGCGATCCTTTTTCTTTTTTTTTTTTTTTTTTTGGAGGGGGGGATCCTGCAAAGCAACTTCAGGAGGCGCCGGGCGCTGCTCGGAGGTAGCGGGGAGGGCTCGGCCGGCGGAGAAGAGAAGGAACAAAAGCCCCGGCGGTGCTGAATTGGTGCTTTCCTAATTGTAAAGGGGATCGCCAGGCTGTGTGTGGCTGCGGGGCGGGAGGGGGCGGGTGAAGGGGCGATGGGGAGAGGCCTCCATCCCTCCCACCCGGCTGGGGCCGGGCCGCCCGCAGCCCCGAGCCGAGCTGCTGCATAAATTATCTCCTGCCTCTCCATCTCTCGCCTCCCGAGCCGCTCATCCCCGGCACTTTCCATTCCCCGCACGGTGGATGCGGTACCCAGGGCACGGCCCGCTCTGCCCCCAGCCCCGGGCAGCGATCCCGGCTTTTCCCAGCTCTTCCCGGCTTTTCCCGGCTCGCTTCTCTCCGCTTTCCCCCCTCCTGCTTTGTCTCCGGCCCCGTCTCGCAGCCGAGCAGACACAAAAGAGCCTCTGACCTGGGAGGAGAAATCTCCTTTTCCAAGGAAAAAACAAAAACCAAACAAACCCACCCGAGGGTCCCCGGTGCGCGCTTTGAGCAAGGCAGGAAAATTCAAAATAGCTGGGCCGGCTCGGCAGCGGGGGCAGCCTTGCGCCCCTAATGAGTGCAATTAGCGGGGTGAGGATGGAAGCGGCTTCCCCTGCGGCTTTCCCCGGCTGCCCGCGCTCTTCCACGGGTTTTTGGGGGGGGCAAAACGGCGTTTCCCCACTTCCAGGAGCTGTCCCTGAGTCACCTCAGTCTCCAAGCAGCGGGGTTCAGACGGGATTAAATCCCAAACGCATCCCGAGTCCTCCGGGGCTTGGCAGAGCAAAGCAAAGTCGGATTTGGGACTTTTTTTTTTTTTTTCCCTCTCCTTTGCTATCCCTCCACCTCAACTCTCCCAAATCCCGGCTGTCAGCGGATTCAGCGGGGATTTAGGCGGCTCGGGAGCCAGATCTTCCTCCCGTGGCAGCGCGGAATTATCTCACCCCGAGCCGGGACAGCTCTGCCCCGGGCACACCGGAGGTGCCTGGAGCTGGGCAAGGACCCTCCCTGCTCTCTGCCCCTTAAATAACTCCAAAAATCCAAATTTCCGCTGTTAATTTCGGCCGCGGGGATGTGGGTGAGACGCGGGATGGGGTGAGGATGGAGCAGGGTCCGTGCTGCTCCTCCTCCCCTTAAATAAGGATGGGATAATTGATGAATTCTCCCGATGCGCTGGGCAGCTCATTAACTGACGGGCCTAATGAGCTGCTGGGGCTGTCCAAGGAGCCAGGAGAGTTGGGATGGGGGGAAATGTTGGATCCGGGCTCAGGATTGCCGGAGCAAGAGATCCAGGAGCAGGTAGGGAGTGCTGAGCCGTCTCTCAGCATCTGCTCCGCTCTGACATTGTGCTCACTTGGGCTTTTTTAAATTTTTTTTTTTTTTAAATTTAATTGTCTTGATATCCCTCATTTGCATAATCCCCCATCATGCAGCGCAGCAGGACTTTTGCTCGGAGCTAATAAATAGACGACAAAAATAAACGTGTCATGTAAGATTTGCTTCCATTCCTTGCCTTTGTGAGGGAGCTCTCGCCGAGCAATGACGCTGGCGGCGTTGATCTCACAGGAGCTGTCAGCCCGGCCTGCCACGAGCAGCGTTTTCCCCTCGCCCCTGGTGCTCAACTTCGCCAGATGTTTGTTTTCAGCCCAACTCGGCAGCGAGCAGCAGGAAAAGGCGGCTTTGGAATGCCGGGATGCGCTCCTGGCAGCCCGGGAATTGCTCCCAAAGCTCTTCCCCCAAATCACCCCACCCCAAAAATCTCCCCCAAAGTTTCCTTGTTGTGGTTCTGCGTCCTGCGGCGGGCAGGCAGGTGCCTGAGGTGGTTTATTTTTGGAGTGTTTAATTCGGAATTAAGGAGCGCTGTGATTTCCTGGCCTCCCCAGAGCCTTGCTCACGGTGGTGTTGAGTTACTGATGAAATTCCTTCCCTGAGCTGAAGAAAAGGAGTAATTGCTGTGCCGTGAATATCCGAGTGAGCTCACGAAATGCAACTTTTTTTGCTGCAGGAGGTTCAACAAGAATTTATTTGTCCCCTTCCAATAAATCGGCTGGATGGAGCTCGGGATATTGATGGGAACAGCAGAAATCCCACCCCAAAACAGTCAAGGCAGGTTCCAGGTGTCAAAACACGACTTTAAAATAAATTTGCCGGGTGTTTTCCCAGGATGGGGCTGGGCTGAAGTGCGAGAGCTGCTGGAAGATCCCTGGAATCCAGAGGATCCCTGGAATGCCAGGCCGGTGAGGACATTTGGGTCCGATGGAGCAGGAGACTCCTCAGGTTCCTGGAGGTGTGGAAGAAATGGTTCCTTTGAAATTCCTCGGGATGTCACACTTCATGCATTCCAGCAGTTGGGATTTTCCTCTTTTTTCCCCCAGCCTTGCGATTCTGGAGGATTCTCCGCCCTGACCTAAGAACACGTCAGCATTTCCCACTGTCCTGTTTGCTGAGAAAAGCCTGAAAACACCAACCCTAAAGGGTAAAAGCTACGAGAGAAATAAAAACCTGGTAAAAGGCGAGGCTGCTTATTTTTCTTTTAAAGCCTGACCCATTTAAACTCATTTTTATGTCTGACACTGGGGTGGGAGATCCTTCCATGCTGGGAAAAGAAATTCCATGCACAACAAGTCCTCAACCCAGCTCATCCCAGTGGTGAAATGTTCACCCCATGGTCTGGACCAGTGTTGGAACTCAAAATGTCCCTCAGACATTTTTGGAGGTTCCAGGCCCCGGTCAGAAGCATTTGAGACCCTGGCACAGCTGGAAACAGCTGTGATTTTGGGTTTGAGCCATGGAATGAGTTATCAACCTTGCAGGAAGAACAAGAAGTCACAAAAGTTTAGATATTAGAGTAGAAGTAGTCACAAAGTAGAGGGAAGAATTTTTGAGTGCTGTACAGGGGGTTTTGGTTTTGTCCATGGGGGTCAGAGGGTTTAAGATGGATTTGGGATCTGGGCCTGCCCTGTCCTCCCTCTTTCTCCTTCCTCACCTCCATGTTCTTGGTGATGTTGGCACTCACAGGTTGGTTTAGAGTAGAAAAGCACCATTTAATATAGGTAATAGGCATTAGGGAAAAACTGTAACCATGTAACACATAATGTACCATATAAAAGATAGAAAAGCACCATTTAATATAGGTAATAGGTATTGGGGAAAACTGCAAACATGTAACACGTAATGTACCATATAAAAGACAGCAGCAGCCCTGGGCGGGGGGAGAAGCAGTCGGGGTCAGAGAGGATGTCAGGGTGTGTGTGTGCCTCTGCCTGAGCTGTGAGCAAACCACAGCAGCCCCAGAAGAAAATCTTTTAGATAACTTGCAATAAACTGCCTTGAGACCAAACAACAGAGACTGCTGAGCCTTTCTTTGGGAGCTCGGGTTGGAGGAGAAGATTTTCCAACACACAGAGCCACCCCAGACCTAGGGTGGGCTTTGACAGACCCGTGTGCTGGGATGAGGGAACGGAGCTCTGGGAAGGCAGAGATCCGTGAGGATGGGAGGAGGGAAAACCAGCGGGAGTGAGACGAGGCAAGGGCTGGACGGGCGCGGAGTCTCCCTCCAGGATGCAGCGAATAATTTCCCTTTTCCCCACAGCAGCAGGGCCAGAGGATGGGATCATCAGTCTTCATTACACGCCCGGAATAGGCTCTGTCAGGTTCTGCTGGAAAACCAATCAATATTTCCTTGGCCTGGCTGCCCACAGCTCCCAGCAGGAGCTGCACAGCCAGGGCAGGCACCGGGACGTGCCAGCACTGGTTTGGGGTGCCCACAGGTCCCCACGGGGCTGTGGGGGGACACTGAGGCACCCAAATATTGCCACATATATGAGACACACAAATATTGCATTTGGGTGTGAAAGGGATTCAGCTTTGTTCTCATCTGCTCCCCAGGGGCTTCCCTTGGCCATGAAATCTGCAGGGGACAGAAAAATCTGGGGAGGAAAGAGGGGGAAAGGGAAGGGAAGGAAAAAGGAAAGGAGAAAGGGAAAAGGGAAGGGAAGGGAAGGGAAGGGAAGGGAAGGGAAGGGAAGGGAAGGGAAGGGAAGGGAAGGGAAGGGAAGGGAAGTGCTTTGCCCAAATGCAAGCACAAAATCCCTCTCAGATTGCAAAGGCAGCTCAGAGCAGGGCCCCCACACAGAACAAGGCACCTCCAGGGATCAGCACCTGAGGACGGGCTCAGCAGCATCCCCACTGAGGGACGTTTTGAGCTCCAGCAGGAACGGGGCTCTGGTGGTGCCCCTGCCCTGGGAACCCACTGGGGGAACTGCCCAGCAGCACACAGCCCTCAGACTGACCTCAGGCCTGGCATGACCCCTCCGTGCCCACCCTCCAGACCTTCCCGGGGCAGGAACGGGGCTCTGGTGGTGCCCCTGCCCTGGGAAGCTCCTCCATGGCCATTTCCATGCCTCGTGCCCAGGCTCCTGCTGCAAACCAAATTCTCCCAGCAGGCAAGACAAGCCCCATCCATCTCGCTCCCAGCGTGGCCACACGACTAAAAATAAGCCAATAAAGGAGAAATGGTCTCGGCGAGGCAGCAGCAGCGGCAGCAGCAGCAGTGCAATTACAGCAGGGAGAGCTGCAGCAGCTGCAGCACCTGCGCTGTGGCGAGGCAGGACCCCAGAGCCCCCTGCCCCTCCCTGCCACACTGTGCCAGCGGTGCCAGCGGTGCCAGCAGCTGCTGCTGCCCCACAGCCCCGGCTCTGCCTCACTGGGCTGCTCCAGGATGCTCCTGGTTGTCCCCTGGCACCTCTCTCAGGGCTGACAGCTCCGAGGGGCTCTCCCATGGCAGAGGGGAAGGGATTGTTCGCTGGGAGGGTGGCAGGCCTTGGCACAGGGTGCCCAGAGAGGCTGTGGCTGTCCCTGGATCCCTGGCAGTGCCCAAGGCTGCGCTGGGCACAGCCTGGGGCAGGGGGAGGTGGGAGAGGTGGAACTGGGTGGGCTTTATGATCCCTTCCAACCCAAACTAGTCGGGGTGTCCGTGGTTATTGCAGGGTTTGGGGTGACCCCATAACAGCAAAGAACTCAAACACCCAAACCTGTGTGGGGATCAACTTCTGGGGGTGCAAACCCCAGTCTGGGACAGCACTGCCAGCCCTCCTTTCTGTCACCTTCCAATGAACGATCTGTTCAAGTTCTGCTCCTCTCCACCGCCCCAGCAGCTGAACTGTGACTCTGGGGGTCCTGTCCCTGTCCCTGTCCTGCCCTTCCAGCCTGCCAGGACATTCCAGGCATTTTCCTCTGCAGGTCACGGAGATCTCCCGGCATCTTTGCCGAGGGGAGCTGAATTTTGGGGAGCCCTGTCCCCAGTTTCTCCTGCCGTGGCTGTGGCAGGCACACGCCGGGGCTGGGCCCGCGTCCTCCCTCTGCTGCTGGAATTGGATTTGCAGGGCAGCAAACGCTCCTGATCCATGGGAGCAATTTCTGAAATGAGCAGCCGAGGGGAAGTGAGCGCCAAGGGTTCCTGTGGGACTCAGATTCGGCCAAAGAAAGAAAGAAACTGAGAGTTTCTAGCCAGGCAAAAAGCCTGGGAAAGAGCTGGAGCAAATATATAAATAATTCTTTATCTCTCTTGTTGTTCACATTGTTTATAGTTAAGTTCTATCACTGTGCGTCAAGCACTGTACACCAATGGTGTATATTGTTTTCACTTCAGAACCAATGGATTTAGTCCTCACAAAGCTCTGTATAAAGAGCGGTGTATTTTGAATAAATCAGAGTTTTACTCTCAGTTTTTTTCCATTGGACCAATGGAGCTGGTCCTCACAAAGCTCTGTATAAAAGAGTGGTGTATTTTGAATAAATCAGAGTTTTACTATTACAGCCTTCTAATCTAACCAAAGTCTCTTCATTCCTGTCCTGCCTCGACAGCGACAGGTTCCCCACAGTCCCCCCTCCCCTGGTGCTCGCTGGGACATGGGGGGACACCCAGGGATACGGGGGGGACACGGGGGGAAAACAGGGAAACACGGAGAGGACATGGGGGGCACACCCAGGAACACGGGGGGACACAGAGAGGACGTGGGGGGACACTCAGGGACACATGGGGTGACACAGGTGGGACACGGAGGGTCACGGGGGGACACCCAGGGAGACAGGGGGACATGGGGGGGACACAGGTGGGACACCTAGGGACATGGTGGGGGGACACACAGGAACACGGGGGAACACAGAGAAGACACAGGAAGACACCCAAGGACACAGGGGGGACATGGGGAGACACTGAGGGACACGAGGGACACATGGGGGACATGGAGAGGACACGGGGGACACTCAAGGACACAGAGGGACATAGGGGAGACACCCAGGGACAGAGAGGGGACACCCAGGGACACGGGGGGACACAAAGGGGACACACAGGGACATGGGGGAATATGGAGGGACACAGGAGGGACACGAGGGGGACACGAGGGGGACACGGGGGGCTGCGCTGAAGGTCGGGGGGCACGAGGGGGCTGCACGTGGGCGGCCAAAGAGTCTAAAGGTGTGGCAAAAAGCGGGGTCCCGCCTGGGGGGTACCCCGGGGTACCCAGGCTGAGGAGCCGGGGGTGTCGTGTCCCCCCCCAATCCAGCCAGGGCTCAGCCCTCCTGTCCCCAGCCTGGTGTGATGCTCCGAGGGTCCCCCCCATCCCTCCCCCACCCAGCCGGGGGTCCCCAGGCTCCGGGACTCCCCTTTACACCGCTGGCTTGGGACTCGCTCGGTGCCATCCCCGGGCCGGTGCCAGCCCCGAGGTGCCCACCCGGCTCTCCGGGTGCCCTCCGAGAGGCAGAACCGCTCGGCCCATGTCGGAATCTGAGGTATTGATGATTCTGAGATTGTAAAAGTCTCTGTCTGTCAGCCCCCTGCCAAAGCAGAAGCCATAATTGGTCTGTGCTGGTTTCCAGGTTGTTTATTCTGTTGATCTCTCACATGTTCTGCTGCCCTGCCCAGCTCTGTCCTGCAGGGCAGCGTGTGGGGCTCTGCCCTCAGTGGGATGTGACAAACATTAAATACCAGAAACTCCCTGGGCTGCATTTACAAGAACGTGCCAATATCTGTCACCTACGTTGGACAGTGTGTCCCCAGCCTGAACCAACAGAAAAATGCCAACACCACAGTGAGACATGGAGGGCATGAAGAAGGAGAAAAAGGACAAGGCACACCCAATTTCCTCCATCTTGTCCCCTTTGGACCCCTCATCTAGAATCCTAAAATTTTACTTTTGCACCCGTGCCACACTTAATTATTCCTTATATCAAACTCTCAGAGCAGGTAATTGATCCTGTAAGATTGAAAACTCTTTTCCATGGCCAGAGATCACAGCCAGTGTCTCTGGGGGCTCTGTCCGGGGGGTTCCTGACCCCTCCAGGGTCCCAGGGCAGCCAGAGGGAAGCCCTGCATTCCCACAGCCCCAGGCCGGTTCCTGCCACACCACGGCTGTGCCCCCCAGAACAGCTGCCCCACATCTGTCGGGACACGTCGCAGCCCCGGGAATCGCGGGAGTTTCCCCCTGTCCCCTCCGGCGTCTCCCCGAGGAGCA